GTTTTATTTCAGGGTTCTGTAAGAGTTTCTTGTTTTTCTTGTTTTTCTTTTTTATTCAGTTTATAAAGAGAACCTCAGGGATTTCAGAGGGATTTTTGAGAAGGTCAATTATGAATCCTAAAAACACCAGTGGAAAGAAATACTGATTCACTAAACAATACAGTTAAAGACGGAAGACACATTAACTGTCTGCATTTTCCTCCTAATGTTCATAAGACGAGAACAAGTATTTCCCAAGTTTTTAAATTGCTGCTTACTTAGATCACCAGAAAATGGCCCCATCCCACATAGGATGCAAAACCTCAGCGATCCACTGTTAAGTGAAGCTGTTCCAGATAAACTGCGAGCCAACTGACCCTGGAAATTTAGTACCCAAGTTGCGTGACTCGAAAATCTGTTCAAAGCAAGGCATGGCTGCAGGCCTTGACTGTTGTACTTTAGTAACCATAGTAACATGGTCTCTGGAGACCTAATGCTAGTGAATTTTCCTTTATTTCAAGGAAGAGTAATAAGAGAAATGTGTATTGGAACTTGTTTTCTGTCTCTTCCCCCCCCCCCCCCCCCCCATTTTTACTATGCCATGACCTTGACCAAAATATCTTTGAAGTATTTGCTGGCTGATTTTCTGCTATGGGATCAGAAAAAAAATCAGGATATATAAAGGATCTTGCCAAAGGAAGTCCTACCTTCCTCAAAATATTTAGCTTCATTCCCAAAGAGAACCTCTTGACTAATAATGTTTCAAAAACTTCTTAATGGAAGGAACTGATAACTTTCATCTCCCGGCTACTGTGGGCACCAGAATAATGTTGTACATTCTTTGAACTGATAGACTAATTGTTTTTTGTTTCAGTAGCAGGTGCAGCTTTTCGTGAGTACATAATTGGATGTACATGTTCTTTCAAAAGAACACAGGCCCCTGTCTGGTGCCAAGCTCTTTTTTTTTCTTCTTTTTTTTTTTTCCATTTGGGAAAAAAAATACCCACATGATTTCATTTTTAAAGTACAATGTAGGAAACTCATGTAAGTTTTTTTAAAAGGCCAAATACAAACAAACAAATGTTCACAATACATACTTAAGGCTGTCTCACATATTTCAGCTATTATCCTGCATTAGAAATTCCATCTGTCATTGAATCCATATGGTTTACCAAATGGCAGTTTATAACCACGTATTTTTTGCAGATTTGAAGTTAGTTGTGTTTTGTTGCAAAAGTTCTAATGTCCACGCTCATGTCTTTGTTTATGTGCGTATGTTTCTATGTGTTGGATGTGTCCCCCTCTGCATGTGTCAGTATATGCAAAATTGCTAGTAACTGTAATAGGATGCAAGTAGACTTTATTGATTAAAACACACCAGTTGAAAATAAGGCAAATAACATCAACATTGAGCCGTGGAGTTCAGTTATTTCCTCCTCTAAATCCAAGAGCCCTGTTTCAGGGTTTCCATTATTTCTACTGAAAGCTGCCTTCACATTATTTCTACTGAGGAAAGCTGCCTTTATTTCTCTGTGCTGTCCCCTCTGTGTTTTGGGCAGACACATGTCTACACTAGGGAGTGTAACCTGCACAGGTATGAAGCTGGTCCACATCCCCTTTCTCTTTTCGTCCCTCCAGGTTATGGATTACCCAGGCAGATGACTGCTGTGGTTCTGACACAGCACAAGAGTGCAGCCTCCTGTTCACTGGGAATGAGAGAAAGCTATTGTTGAGAATTCCATTTAAGTAACTGAAAATGTTTAAAGTCATATGTGGAGCCATATACTTTGTTGTCCTGTGTAATGTGTAACTTAGAACAAAAAAGCTGGGAATAGTTTTTGTTCATTCTCATGGACTGAAGCTGTCTCTCTTCCACTCAGTCTAACAAATCACTAGGATTCTGGCCAGAATAATGGAAAATCTCTATGCAGAATTACTGTAAAGGGCTTGAGTATGAATTTGTACATGATACCTGAGAGATTTATCTGAGAGGTCAGAAGAGGTCTTTTCCTACTAATCTACAGTCACTATTGTTCACTCCTGGGGTACCAGACCTGTGTTAGCAAACACACTCCATCCTCCCATCTGCGGTAAGAAAAGTATAAATCTCAGCACAACTCTGATTCTGTTTTCAGAGTCCTCTGTCCTACAGATGTCAGGTTTCACACTGAACTGCCTCAGGGTATTTACTTTAGGGTAATGTTGAGAAAACTGAAAAATTTGCAGTCATGGGTAAGACTCACTGGTTAGGAAGTTTTACTCCATGTCCAGCTTGTCTCTTTTTAGTGTGTCTGAAGCAGCAGGTTTCCCAGCTAAAATGAGGTTTAGACACATGGAATTTGTGTTAAGCCTCAACAGCCTCATGCGGCTCCATAAAAGTTGTTGTTGCACCAAAGTGGGTTTTGCTTTTCCTGCCTGCAGGGTAGAGCATCTGATGTCTGCGTTTGGGGTCATGAAAACCAGTCAATGCTTACTCAAGAGATCTTAACTCAGGAGAGGACATCAACATTTTGAGAACAGAACAAAAACAAAGTGGGGAAAGTTTGGAATTCTCTTCATTTACATACATCCCTCAAATCCATACTTATTTCTCTTAACCTAAACACATGCCTCCTTGAAATTTCCCTTCGCTTCTTCTTTCCTCTTGCTCCCTCCTGCCCTCCTTATACCTCACAACCTCACAGACATAGCTGCCAGTCCACTGATCTGAACCCTTAGAAACGGCTAGAAATGGGACACATGGTCCCATTTCCCTTTCCCGTTCTAAAAATTGCTGCACCTGGTCCAGCCCAACTGACTCTGTGAAAGAAAAACTTGTATAAAGAAAAACCTGCCCATCCTCCACTGTGTGGAAGCAGGTTTTACGTTTGAAAAGTAGAGACTCATCTCTTAGGGTACGTGTCTAAGCCTAAACAATACGTACCAATATGCTGGATGAAGAAGGTTCATTTTCAGACAGAGGTATTTATTTCTTGATTCATAAAAGCAATCTTTGGCAAAGGAAGGTGCTCCCCAGCTATTTCATAAAGGGGCTGGAAAACTCCAGCTTACCTGCAGGACAAACCACATTTTAAGGTTGTTCAGCATGATACATGTGAGAGTCTTTGATCTTATTCAGATCTTGTGGTAATTTTTTTAAGCCTTCCCAGATAGAACTTGTTGCATTAATTTGCATAGGTTAAGAACATTTCTTAAATGAAGAACCTTTCTTTAATATTCCTAAGTTCTACCTGCCCCAGATGCACAGGCAGGACTGAACATCTTTTGGGACATGCATAATAGCAGCCACAGACATGAAGGAGCTCCCTTAAATGTCCTGTTGTTGTCTTTGTGGACGTTTTTATTCTGTTCAAATTAAAAGGCCTGCCAGATGTTCAAAATGTAATAACATTCATGACATCACATCACTGATGGTTTCATTGCTGTGAAGATGAGTCCAAACAGACAAGATGCCAAACATGCTTTCTTGTCTCCACTTGACATTGGACATGGATATGACAAATACCATCTATGGAGGCTCCTCTCAGTGTAGTGAAAGGCACAGATGTGAATATGTAGGAATCTTGACACATTGTCTTCTGGTTGGTGAGGCGCTAAGATGAATTTGGGCATTATTTAGAGCAGAAAATAGCAGCAGTCCAGCAACTCCTTGCACTTGGAGAGTCGACAGGGATAACTATTGTTAAACACAAACCCAACTAGTTTTGAGAGATAACGCTTATTCCGGAAAGGAGAGGTATCTTTAGAGCTGACCTGGAACTAGCCATGATTTGCACTTGACTGTTCTTAGCCATGAGTCATGGTTAGCACTGATTTGATTGAATCTGTTGCTGCTACAGCTCTTTCCAAAGGTAGGTGAGCCATTGCAGTCTCTCCACTACATTTCTCCAGTCATCATTTCACAGGTTCTTTGAGGAATAGAGCCCCAGACCATCTGTGGTCCCACTGGGCCTCATTTCCAAAGGTGCTCCATGTTTATGATTGGGGACGAATCTGAGGAGGTCAGTCTATTGTGCACTGAACTCTTGAAATTCTGCCCACCATTGTCACAGTGGGAACAGGCTTCAAGCAGTCTTGGAAATCTGGTCCTTATTTAGGAACCAAAAAGAGAACCAAGCTCACAAAAATATGTCAGTGTATCTGGTTACTGGGCAATTGAAAATCTGCCCTCATTGTGCTTCAGGATTAACTCAGGATTAATAGGGACATTGCTACAACAGTAAATTGAGAGAAAGGTGAAGCAAGGATAGTAATAATATAGCAGTATTTCATCAGCTGCTGTTTGAACTGTCATCTCAAAAGCCCTCAAAACATGAAAGGATCATCTGAACAACCTTGGAATACAAGTCTGCTGGAGTCAAGATATGTTACTGCATCTTTAGCAAGGGAAGAGAGGCAAAATTAGTCAGTCTGCATGCAGCGTGATGACCTTAATGTTTACGTCATCTATTTCCTTTAATCCTTATTTTTATTTGTGGTTTTTCCTGGTTGCTTTCCTTGCATCATTGACTCTATAAGAATTCATTCAGATTTTCTTTTTAGACTAAACATGGGTTTATATCAGTGAAGTATCTATTTCCTACTTTATATATTCATTGCATTTACACTAGTCATATAGGAGATTATTGTACTATCTATATGTATCAATGCATGTACATTCAAAGCAATTATTATGGAATGTGATGGTTTAAATTAAAAGCAAAAAAGAGTAGTTGACACTTGCTATTAAGCTTTTAATTATATGAATTAATGATAAAATTTAAAGTAGATAACAAACCAGTAATGTAATATGGTAGTTACACTGACATTACTTATCGTAACTTTATTAAAAAAGGAAAAAAGTATGTTCCATATTGTTATTCATTTTTCATGTTAGGAAAAAAGGCCTTTCTGCAAAATTTGATGTCCAGCTTTTTTGCAGAGTGTTTTCTTTCAGATCTAGAATATTCTTCAAATTATTACATTTTACACCCATTTTACTCTTTACTTTCTGATTATTTTTAATATTGTTTTCCCTTTAGTCACTGAACGGTTTTGCATTGGTGGTGAGTGCAGATGGAATGATATTTTATGCGTCATCAACGATTGTGGACTATCTAGGGTTTCATCAGGTAAATATATTAACTAATATTTACACTATATAGTCAGTCTCATTGTAATGACTTTCTTGTGGTTACTCCTGCTAACTGGCTTTCTAAAATGCAGCACTTACATTGTTCCACCTTATCCTTCTGCTGATTAGACATACAATAGTACTGAAATTAAGTTCTTTTACTGTGCCATTTCAGACTAAATTTCTTTTTTAATCAGACAGGTAAAGATGAATTTCTTGTAATGTTGTTCCTTTTGTAAAGTTTTTGTTAACAGAAATGTGATCCATCATAAAAATAAGATTTAGCTGAAAGTTTTTTCTCAATTTCAGTATAAAATGCTGGTATACATAGACATACAGACATATAGACTGGTTGCCTATGTATAATAAATACATCATAAAGGTACAGAATAACAGAAGCATGTAATTGGAAAGGACCTCTGGAGGTCTTCTAGTCCAACCTCCTCCTCAAAGAGATCAGATAGTGCAGGTTGATCTGGGACTCATCTGGTCAAGTTTAGAGTTTCTATGACCCCTCTGGAAGATGTGTTCCAGTGTTTAACCACCCTGACCGTAATTATTTTCCCCCTGCTTATAGCAAGTCCCAGTTTCCCATGTTGCAGCTTGTGTCTGTTGCTTTTTGTCCTTTCACTTTGTTCCTTTGAGAAGAGTTGGGCATTGTCTTCTCTACACCTGCTTATTTGGGTGATACAGGCAGCAGTAAGTTCTTCCTGAAGTTTTCTCTTAAGGCTGAACAAACCCTTCTCTCCTCTCTTGATATGTATGGCTCCAGCCCTATTAGTGCCTTGGTAGCACTCTCCTGGGCTCACTTTTGTATACCAATATCTTTCTTTTCCTGGGATATCCAAAATTAGAACTTTGCCTATGTGAACTTCCTCGGTCCATTTTTACAGCCTGTCAAGCTCAGAGTAGCCATCCTGCTCCCCCCAGTTGGTACCCTCTGCACGCCTGCAGAGAGTGCACTCTATCCCATTGTTCACTAAACAAGAAATTAAACAGGGTCGATCCCAGCATTAATCCCTGGGGCATGCCACTAGCCACCAGCTGCCAGTTGGACTTTTTAATGATTCACATTTGTATATGCACAAAAGAGTTATGAACAAAAAGAATCATCTTAGGACGTGAAGTCAGAAAGCAGATGCTGTAAAACAGGGGCCCCTGAAACAACTTTCCTCAATCAGTCTTTGCTCTGAAGATATTCTACACCAGACATTAAGTAAAATATCAACCTGAAGATAAGTGTTTGCTGCACTACACTTACAAATTAAACTTTTTTTGTTGTAATTATTTCAGACTGACGTAATGCACCAAAACATATATGATTACATTCATGTGGATGATCGCCAGGATTTCTGTAGACAACTGCACTGGGCCATGAATCCTCCCCAGATGTTATCTGGACAGCAACTACAGACAGAAACAGGTGGGATTGTATATGTTGACAGGAAACATAGTCACCACTGTATTAAGGTAGAATTGCACTCTGCTTATGCCCATGTCGATTCCATGTAAAGTCACATTCTTCACTGGAAAGCTGCATAGTGGCCGTTTATAATGTAATTGTCCCATACATGATGTTTCTTCCTGATCCTTCACATTTCTAAGGTAGTGTGTGCCATTAAGGCTACAAAGTTGATGTTTCCTTTATTTTTCTTTGACTAATGTACTTACAGATATTCTTACCCATGCAAAATGAACAGCATCAATGTCCATCCCAGCAAGCTTTTGTTCACACTGATCAGGACATCAGCATTCCTCTCATTAATACAAAAATGTCCCATGCAAAGCATTTCTGTACAGTACCACAATGGCAACACCACTTTCTGCCATATATTTTCCTCTGCAAAATTATGCAGACAGGAGTCAGCAGAAGAACTAGAAAGTTTAGCAGTGTACTTTTTCCCCTGAGCCTGTGTTTCCCTAGAATGGCAGGTGGATACATGTGCTCAAGGTTTCTCCTGTATGAGGCTTGAAGCTGAAATCATGACTAGAGAACATACAGTGGGTTTGAAGCTGTTAACTTTATAAAGAATTATTGATCACAGAAAAATGTATGCATTTCACCAGAAGGTGAGGAAGTAATTGAGGAAAGAAACTGAGGAAGCACAGTCTCCAAATGGGGGGAGGAGAAATTTGCAAGAAATCCTACAGCAGCCTTTATGAAGTTCTGAGGAATACAGTCAGAAAACTTCGGCAGAATTTCTTGCAGTTTATATTTTTGCAGATATCTGAGGAACTTTGCAAGATTTTATAGGGGGTACACAGAAAACAAACTAAAAAACATGCATGAATATTTCAAACTCTAAAAAATTACAAATATTTGGAATTTTTGTCATAATACAGTGGAGAATTCAGTTCCTGAGTTCATACTTCTGTACAAATAAATACTTCTGTCTTTTGGGAAATAAGTATTTCAAAAGCTTTGCACATGTGTTGTGGTTTAAACCTAGCCAGTAACTCAGCACCATGCAGCCGTTTGCATCCCTCTCCCTCTCTGGGCAGGATAGGGAGGAAAATCGAAAGAATGTAAACCCATGGGTTGAGATAAGAACAATCCAATAACTAAAGTATAATATAAAACTAGTGCTAATAATAATAATGATAATAATGATAGGGGAAATAACGAGAGGAGAGAATAAAAAGATAAAAGGGGAAAGGAAAAAAACCCCCAATAAACACAAGTGAACACAATACAATTGCTCACCACCCGCTGACCAATACCCCACCCTACCCCGAGCAGTGATTCTCCCCAGTTTATATACTGGGCATGATGTGCTGTGGTGTGGAATATCCCTTTGGCCAGTTCGGGTCAGGTGTCCTGTCTCTGCTTCCTGCCATCTTCTTGTGCCCCTCCTCACTGGCAGAGCAGGAGAGACTGGAAACTCCTTTATCAGGGTAAGCATTACTTGGCAACAACTAAAACATCAGTGTGTTATCAGCATTGTCCGCAGGCTAAAGCCAAAACACAACACGGCCCCAGCTACTAGGAAGAAAAATAACTGTTATAGCTGAAACCAGGACAACTTGTAGTCAAAAACTGGAAAATGCTTCATTAAAAATCAAGTAGGCAACAGGTGAACACTAGCTAATCAGTCATTGTTAATCTGTTTGCCTTTAACTTGCATTAGCATTTTTCCTTTCATTTTGTTCCACTTCCTAATGTATTTTTTGTAATCTGTGATCTCAAAGCCAGCAACATCTGTTACCCTGCTTTGCATCATGAAAAATCACAAAAACTCAGGAAATAAAATAAGACAAAGTTTCTGAAGAAACTCACCTGAATCCCATTGTTGAGCTTTTCTCTTTTTTTTTTTTTTTTTTTTTTAATTTTATTTTTCTTTTGGTAAAAGCATGTGCAGATGTATCTATACCTGATGCAATCTAATATTCACCCTTTCATAAAGTAAGTTTTAGAAATTTCCATAACAGTTTCTTCAACTGGCTACAGAACATTTTCGTTCGTTCTTAGTGTTATCTGATATATATTGCTTCCACTGTTGTTCCTAGGAGAAGAATATATTCTCAGTAAATTGTTTAAAGCACAAGAGAATGACAGCATGACAACAGATTATTCTTCCTTTTTAACTCGTTGTTTCATCTGTCGAGTTCGCTGCTTGTTGGACAGTACTTCTGGTTTCCTTGTAAGTATAATTTCACTTAGAGAACTGTTGTTATGACATACTAATCACTTCATATGAAAAATACTTTAACATAAATATTGAACATGAATATTGTGGAGAGCCATGGACAAGATACATTTCTCATTTGCTGTGCACTAACAAGAAACACCTAAAGACATTTATTAATGCATATAAAGAGTGATGGGAGATGAGAAGTTGTAATATTTGAAATTGAAAGAATCTATAAACTTCTGTGTTTTAAGCTCTTCCGGACAATATCTGTCCTCAGTTCATACTAGGCCTAGCACAAGGATGGCAAGCCTGAGTTTCAACGATTAACATGTAAGAACAAAGTGTTTTCTTTAAGAAGCGGGAATAATAATGAATGATACATTTTCCCCTTTTGTGAAGGGTCCCTAAATGATAAAAAACAGAGTTAGGAAGTCTCTCTCATGCTCCTCAAGTATCGTTACTAGGAATGGCTCCCTCATTTTCTTAGTAAAGACCAATGTTGTTTCTTATGACAAAGAATGGCACATGGAACAAAAATGAGACTATCAGCACGAGACAGCAAAATGCAACTTTTGTTTCAGATGCTCATTTGCTGGAAGATGAGCTTATTTGCTGTAGGTCTGAAGAGCAATTCAGTTAGTCATTTCTGCATCCCTGTTTTAATCTTGGAGCTCTGGAAAAAGCCCAACTCAAACGGACTGATTTTTCTCTGTTCATTTTCTTGTAGGTAGTTTTTTTTCCCAGAGAGGCAGCAGCTTGATGCTCAAGTTAGTAACTTGAGCTCTGCCTTCTGATTCTATAGAGATTTGAGGCAGGGATGGATAGCTTCTTCCAAGCTATGTACTTTGTATCTGGCTGTCTTGGGCATATCTTTTCCATTGGCATCTGCCTGCACAGCCCTTGGGTTGTGCCAGTCCATATGCTTCCCAGAGAAAGTGCAGGGCAAGAAGAAAGAAACTCTGGAACCATCTCACTGGAGAGAACAGAGCATGGAAAACTTAAAGTTCCAGCTTCAGTGTGAGGCACAGAGGAAATAGCTGTTTGCACCACCATATGCTGCCTGTACAGAACATAACACAGAACTTCTACTTTAAATACACAGGAGAGGCAAAAACAAAAACCAGCCTCAAATGTCTCATTTTACTGTTGATAGTACCTCCACTCACCATGCCTCTGAAATGTCATGATTTAAATTGTATGAAGAAAATGAGATTCCTAGTTTTTCTCCCTGTTTCAAAACTGGTTTTGGTGTTAAACAACATGGTCCATATGTTGTATTATCACTTTAAATATTTATACACTAAATGCTTAAGATAATTCTATTGTTTTTTTGTATAACAGACAATGCAGTTCCAAGGCAAACTAAAGTTTCTTTTTGGACAAAGGAAGAAGTCCTCATCAGGAACAGTATTGCCACCTCAGCTGTCATTATTCTGCATAGTGGTACCACTTCTGCTCCCTTCTGTGACAGAGATGAAGATGAAAAGCCTGCTTGTGAAAGCAAAACACAAAGCTGATGATGCAGCAGCAGTGAATACAAAGTATTTTCAAATTAGTCTTTTAGCAGTTATTAAATTATACTATGAGCTTTATGTTTATTAAGCATGTAAAAAGCACAAATTAGACTAAATGGCTCTCCATTTTAAATCTTTTTTCTTAGAAAAGTGGATAATTTATCTGGATTAAACTACACAATACATAACTATGTTATAATATATAGCCTTAATATACCTTATATATAACACATTAAGTATTACATTACTGTATATATAATTTTATATAAAAATTGGAATGTTGGTACATCTTCCCAACCATCAGAAGTTACCAATGAAGTAATTCATTCTACTAGTTGCAAAAGGGGAAAAGAAAAAGTATTTTACTAATAGTTTTCAAATTTCAGTATCTTCTGATGGCATAATTATGTGGACTTGGGTATTTTGGTAGCAAAAAAAGGAAAACTTCAGAAAGGTGAATCTGTGTGTGTGTGTGTTCACACATTGTCAAACAAGACGTATTTGGTGTGTACATTTATCTTGCAACAGAAGGCTTATGAACACTTAAGTCTACAATTGCATTAAATGGCCTGGGGCTGATCGCTTGGTAGCAATCACAGAAGATCAGGACAGATTGTGTTCAGACTTATTTCCTTTCTAACACTTATTTTTGTTACTTTTCTATGATGGAATTTTAGTTAATTTTTTGGGGCTAGGATTATGCTTTCCCTTATTTGCTTAAATATAACCTTACAGCAATGAAGTCCATGGGCATGGAGAAAAATTCTCGTCAGTGTCACTGACAGCATCGTCATTTGGCTTTTAATTAGAATATGCTCATGTATGTGTGGATTTACTGCCCAGATGTGTAGCGTGGTTCTAGCACATACATCCTTTTTACAAGAACTAAATTACTGGAAGGCTGATATAATGGACTATGCAGGTTTTTGGAGTAGAGTTGGAATGTCATTTCCACGTGCTGTTTTTTCTGTGGCCCAGGTGAAATTGATGATCAGAATTCAGCTCCTAGAACAGAGGTGCTGAACTTAAGTTTTACTAACTAGCTGGATGGTGGCCAGGGATTTGACAAGAATGAAGCAGGCATTTAACTTTAGAGTTTCCTTTGGTTCAGGCCTGAAGCATTCTAGCCAGGGATGGTGGGCAAATTTGCATAGTAATTTTTTAAATTATGGTCTTAATAAGGGGATAAATTGGTAAAGCAGTGTTATGGACTGTTTCTAAGCCTTCATATGCATTTTGAAGTAAAGATTGAAAGAAATCCATTCAAATCATATGATGATTATTTGAAGTTGAAGTCATGCTAACTCTTAAGTGCATTGCTGGTCAGCATGATGTATGTACCTTGAATGTACCCTCAACAGGCAGAGCAGAATATACACAGAATTTGTTTCAGCTGAAGCTGAAATTTATTATTCCAGATATAATAAGTCATGAGCGGAATATTCCTAAACATAGCTGTTCTTAATTGAATACAGAATTCCAGTCATACACTAGTTTGAGCAACCGAATAATGCAGGAAACATGGGTAATTATTTAGTACTGGTGACTATGTACTTCAAACATAAGTTCTTACAAATGGTCAACAGCTTGAAGATCACATCTTTCAGAGTCTCTGATTCTGCTGTGTTGTCATTCGCTGACAAGGAATTTTCCACATTTTCTGTCCTCTACAGCTCCAGTTCCAAAAGTAATTCAGGGCTGTGTGAAGCAGCAGATTTATATGGAAGAAACAGTCATCATGAAGGTGCCGCTTTCACTAATGTATTACAGATTGCTGAAAACCAAATCAAAGGTGTGTCTGCAAAGTACTCCTGGATTATATACAGCGTATGGAGAAAGAACATTGTCTTTTCTTTTCTCCTGCTAGGTTTTTCAGGTTTTGTTCTAAGTGCTATCTTTTTTCTTCTCTTTAAAACCCCTTCATTGAAATAATGCAAAAAAGGTTATCTGCCTCAAAAGAGAGTACTGAATCAGTCTGCTGTTTCATAGTGGAAAGAAATACTGTGATGCCAAGTTTACAGATACAGAAACAACACAGTAAATGCTTAACTCATATTTTCCTAAAAATGGCAGCACTTGATTTAATAAGATTATGACAAAATCTTAATAATTAATGACAACATCTATCCCTCTATGAGGAAAACTGGATGATGTGTTACACATGCTAGTTTTTCCCAAAGATCATAAAAGAAGGAAAATCAGAAAGTATTGTCTTTAAAACTCATGATTTGCTTGCAGCTTTGACTCATGCTTTCCCAATGTTTGGCTGTGGCAATATTATGAGAGTCTATGATCTATTTCAGTTTTTACAATGGATAAAATTTTGATAGTGAGTCTACACCAATGGGAAACTTCTTGAGTAGAGCTGTGCTCAGCCTTCTGTCATACCTGCTGGAAACCTTTAACTTCTTTAAAACCATTCCTCTGTTACAGCACCGATTTTCAATACACACTTTCTTGTCGCTTAGTTAGTACTACTACTGAGAAGGAAAAATTATAATGAACTAATAATACTGAAAAATCCTTGGTTACAGTTTAAAAGTGCCTCATTAGGCTTTTCCAATTATTTATTTAATGTAATTTGCCATTTTGTGACATGTTTTAGCTTGTACTTTCTTATGCTGATGATTCTAGTGCAGCAAGCAAACCTGTGAGCATTCACCGATAGTTTAGGTATGAAAAAATATTAAATACTGCTTGTATTAAAACAGATTTTCTTTTAAATTGCATAGCAAAGAATAATGGAGAAAACGGCATTTCTCTAGTCAAAGTACAAAAAAGTGAAGACCACTGGGTCTGGGTTCAAGCCAACACTCAACTTCTGTATCGGAGTGGTTGTTCAGAATATGTCCTTGCCCAACAGCAAATGTTAAAGTAAGTATGTTTTCCAATACTAAAACACCCTCTATATTTCAGCAAAATTAATGTATTCTTCATGTATGAGATCTTTCAAAGGCCTGTCATGACCTAAGAGAAGAGCTAAATGAGAAGGATTTAGTTTACTTTTGAAATGGGAATCCATTTTTATCTTGGATCGTATGAAATGGCTGTTATAATCCTAAACAATATTTTTTTTCCTTTCTTCAGTCTTTTTTTCTCCTGGAATTGAGTGTACACACACACTAAACCAGAATACTTCAAAGCCAGAATGCTTGATTATTGATATGTTTTTACTTTCTTGCACAAAAATGCGTTCTGTGGTTTTGTTTTACTTTGCAGCTGAAACTCTGCTGACTCAGTGTCCTAGTTTTTCTACTGTTAAGCATTTGATGATGTTAAGATTGGGTTTTTTGTGTGTCTTTATGGATGACAGTTGAGCTCATGATTTTAGTTGTGGATGTTCAACCTAACCTAAACAGGGATGCTCCTACTCATTGTACCTTTGTAGATAGATACCTCTGGTTGGCTGTAGGCTCAGCCTTGGATTGGAAGCTAATCTCACAGATTTGCATTCAAAGAGGGCTTCCCCGGTGTGTTTTACCCTTCCCTCTCAAATCGGCTTTTCTTCCTTCCTCGTGGGATTGTCTGTTCCAGTTCCTGTGGGCCTTGTTGAGGCATCGCTTTAAGTTAGTATGAGGGAAGAGATAGAGAGTGAACTGAATGAGCAGGAGCCAGGAGTTGTAAATAGGCACCATCTGGCTCAGTGGAAAAAATGTGGCCTGATATCACTAGGTTTTTTCTGTTAGGATGTCTCACAGGTGGAAAAAATAAATGAAGAAGTCTTTGAACTTCTAGAGTAGTTACCCTTGCAGGCAGCATATCACCCAGCATCCATATGAACAGCAGAGGAGCTCCCACCTGAGGATGGTGGAACTCTTCAACTTTACTGGGACAGCACAGACATCATCTTGCTGTGTGAGGGAATGAACTTCTATAAGGAACAGATTAAAAGTGGATGTTTCTTCTATTCAAGTATCTACTTCTAAATTGTTTTTGTGTAGTTAAGCATGCTCTTTGAGCACAGAATCATGGAATGGTTTGGGTTGGAAGGGACCTTGAAGCTCATCCGGTTCCACCCCCCTTGCCATGAGTAGGGACACTTCTCACTAGACCAGGTTGCTCAAAGCCCCATCCCACCTGGCCTTCCACATCCCACCAACCCTTACACAGATGGAGGATCCACAGCTTCTCTGGGCAACTTCTTCCAGTGCCTCACCACCTTTGTAGTAAAGAATTTCTTCCTAATGTCTGATCTAAACTTACCCGATTTCAGTTTAAAGCCATTCTGCCTTGTAATAAGCCCTTCTCCAGCTTTCTTGTAGGCCCCCTTTAGGTACTGAAAGGCTGCTCTAAGGTCTCCCCTGAGCCTTCTCTTGTCCAGGCCAAACAAGCCCAACTCTCTCAGCCTCTCTTCATAGGAGAGATGCTTCAGCCCTCTGATTATCTTTGTGGTCCTCCTCAGGACCTGCTCTAACAGGTCTACGTCCTTCTTATGTTGGGGGCCACAGAGCTGAACACAGTACTCCGGGTGGGGTCATTTTTACCCTCTGAGTGGTTAAAATCCTTCCTTTGTGCTTGACAGTTCTTACACACTGATGTGTTACAAGATCTGGCCATGAAGATTATATTCAGTTCTGTCTTTCTGATAGCCTGCAATAGACTTCATCTATTCTAGACTACTACTCTTGGAGTTTGGTTTTTGTGGGTTTTTTTTGTAAAAATGTATGCTGCCTTCCTGGAAACATGCCTACATACATACATTCTTTTGGAGAATTTTCACTAGATGCTATTTCACTGTAAAATTCTTCATTTGGGGTCTCAGTTTTTGTGACAATTGCATTTTCATCAGTCCATTGCTTGCCAATTAGTCCATTTCCTGAGAAGCTAGTTCTGCAGCAAACTTGTATCGTTCCATTCACATATTAAGCCTGTAGATAATAGAAATAACAATATCTATTAAAGGACTGAAAATATTTAACGCCTCATGGAAAAAGAGAAAATATTCTCCTTTCTTGGTGCGTATTTATTCCACTGGGACATTCTCTCTTTGTAACAACAGGGACTCCCTCTACAGGAAAACCTTATACTTGCACATTGAGTCCATACCCAAGGCAGCAGTTCTTATTAGAGAGCTGAGAAAAAGCCTTCTAAATCCCTTACTAACTCTCCAGGTTTTCATGCTCGTTTCTTATTGAGACGTCCACTTATTGTTCAGGGCGGGAGGGGTTTGTTTGGTAGCACTGATCCTGCCTGGTCTGGAATCAGCACGTTAGTGAATTCAAGACAAATCCTGAACCTGAAGATTTGAACCCCATCTGCATCAGGCTGGAAATGCTCAGGCAACTTTGTCTGCCAGAGCTTTTTTGTAATATTGAGTACTTCAGCTGGAAGTCATGGAAAATAAATTCACTGGCCATCTTAGAAAACGAAAGGCAATATAAATTAAGTTTGACGTGTGAAACAAATCTATTCTCAATATGATCATCTGTGTCTATTCTGGACAGTTAATTTAGGCATCTTATTTCCTCTCCTCTAACTCTGCATTCTCAAAATGACCCCCATGGTCCTCCCTCAAATCACTTTGATCAGAAAGTTCTTATATGTCCAAATAATTCTTTGTTAACAAAATGCGTCTCCTTTAAGACACTCTGCATTTTATCTTTAGATTTTTCTACACACAAATATTTAGATATATTTTAAGGGAAGAATGAAAGTGTAAGGTAGTTACCATAGTGTACTATGGTATTTAAGGTCTCTGTGAACTGTGTGCCTGAAATGGAAAAGTAAGTATATGTCAAAACTTAAATGAAACAGTGCCACCGAAAAGGTAGCTGTGCACACACTGATGCCCAGATGCATGCACACTCTTTTTTTCTCTTGAACAAATGCAAAGGTTATATGGATGAGAGTGTGAGGGTCCCATATTAAGTTAACAACAAAGTATTGCTTGTAATATGTTGATCCACTCCATTTGTACCCCATAAAACATCAATTTAGAAACCTCTGATTGACTGATTTTTCTGTACTGCTATTGAAAGGGAAGAAGATGAACAACTGAAGATACTAAGTGGTTTTGCCAGTTTGAAGGGAAACCTGGAGGGACTTTCCTATAACAGTGCCATTGAAACTCTGGGCCAGTGGAAGCATCTTAACTGGACAGCAGTAAAAAATGAACCAGATAATGTAAAAGTGAAGTTTGAGCCACATACAAACGGTGAGTGTTTTATGCAAGAGGAACCTCTCAGTTCCAACACATCAGTTTTAGGTGTCCAAAACAATTGCACCACAAATAATAGCTGGACTTTAAGAAACTCAAGCTCTTGTTCTGTGAACCAGCGAATGAATACATGTTCAAACAGGAGAGCTGCATCATTCTACAACAGAGACCAAAGCTTAAATTTAGTATCAACTTGCCCTTCCCACTGGGGGAGCGCAGAAAGCTGCCAGTCTTACTCAGGTGTACAACAGCGTTGTGCGGAGAACTATGCAACGGACCATCTGAAAATGCAGAGACCGTTCATATCCTCAGAGTCTCTCTATGACACAGCCTTTCCCTTGGAGATGCCTATCAAAACAGAGTACGATTCTGATTCTGAAAACATTGCTGATAACTACCTGATGTCACAAAACCGAGCCTGGGTGGATGAGAACGGCTCGGTGAGAAAGCAGGTGTTTAGCTACCCCAATAGAGTGCATCTCAAAACAGAACTGGACCTCTGTGAGCCAGCCTCACCTTGTCAGAAGCCAAGGCACTGCCTTTACACACCGCATAATTGGCAGTGCATTGTAGCAAATCATCCCAACAACCTAAACCTGAACAGATCTTGCAAGGGTTCACGTAACAAGGAGGTGGCCCCATTTTACCCTCAGAACTCCTCCGGGTGTTTGGAAAGCATGCCTGACCTGATGCACACAGCGTGCTACAGCCACTTCTACAGCCCCAGCCCAGGAGAGGAGAAAGAGCAGAATAATGAGGGGTTTAAAATGCCATATGAATTTAAAAACCCCTGCTTGGTTCAAGCAATCAAGCGTGAACCTCTGGATTCTCCACCATTGTCCAGCAGTGGACAGAACAGAGTACACACGAGCTTCCCTGAAAATACATTAGCAGGTCCTGTGCCTCATAAAACCACAGAATGTACATTTTTACAATAGATTTTATAACATTTGGAGTATTTATAATGTTAAAGGCATGAAGTTGTAGATTCTCTTCCAGTTGGGTTAAATGAGTTACTAAAATTAAAAGCCAGTGCAAAGATTTTGTGTGTGTGTGTGTGTGTGTGCATCTGTGTACGAGAAAAAACAGACACAGGAACACACACATCATATACCCTATTCTGCCCTACTACCCTTCTGTTAGTGATCTTTGGAAAGAAAGAAAGATGAAACCTCAGGCACAGAAAAACAATCACTGCTCACTGCACAGGTATACCTGCTAATTTGTCTTCATCATCCCTCCTCTCATGTCTACAATTCATTACCAAGGTATAGCTGTTTCTGTTTCCTGCCTTTGTTTTGTTTGTTTTTTTGAAGCTGATGTGGATGCCTCTGTGCAAACATAAAATGCTTATGGTGTTCAGTGTGGCCAGTGTACCTTAGTGCTTTTTGTATTTTTAGTTTTTTGCTACTCTAGTAAGAAGCATCTGCTATTCCTTTATCTCAGCATTAAACTGATGGCAACAGGATAGCATTAATTAAAACAAATTACTGTCATAAAATAGAAATTATTTCACTTCAACTGAAGTTCTTCCCAAGTTTTCTTGATAACACTGATGTTTTAGTAGCCATATTTTTCCATTTTAAAGCCATCAGCCTTTCATGCTGCTGTTTGAAAGACTGAACAATGGGATGTTGCCCACTTCTAAGAGTTACCAGTGCTGTAAAATGTACATGAGAAGAAAATATTTCTCCAATATTTATTGCTGTTACTTGTAACATTAACAAAGGAAATGCACTTTTTAATTTGATAGTATTTGTTTGATTGATAATAGCTTGTTAGATATTGTCATCTGACATCAAAACCAAACACCACACTAAGATTACCTATATTATTTTCAAAAGCATCCTACTTTCATTCCCAAAATAAAATCTAAATCTCTTAAACCTAGAGCTAACTGGAGGATGTATATATTTCAAAAGCACCAAAGTGTTTTTGAAAACAGATCTGATGCTTTCCTTTGAACCCAGGCAGTAATGTATTTCCACCAAAAAGAAAAGTATAACTTCTGTTTTGGTTTTTATTGTTGTTGTAGTTTGACTCCTGCACTAACTTTTGTTTTAAAATTGCACTATGTCAACTTTATATCAACTTCACCTATATAAAACCCACATCATTAAAAAGAAAAAAAGCTATAAAGCTTAGATGTATATGTGCTTTTTGAAAGAAACCCTATAATGAATGTTTTCTTTTTCAAAGTGTTATAAATAATTATAATGTCTTCATTTCTGTATCTATTAGTCACTAAAGGCATGGCTTTACATGCCAGAACAGTGGCATAAACTTCTCCCAAATGCTATAAATATGTGGGATAAGTGTAGTTTATGGGGAATGTTTCTGCACCTGGGAGGCTGCTCTTCTCCAAGACTGTCTGTCTTCTCTGATAGAAATTATTGCCTGTACATTAGAGTTGGCAGATGTAAAGATTATACTCTCTGCATGTCAGTTAAGTGCTTATGAAACATAGCTTGTTCTGAAATGCTGCACTTTACACCGTAATGGTACCTTTTGATGACTGTCCTGCAGAAGGCAGTAACCCCAGCAGAAAGACAAGAGTCCGCAGTAAAGAGGGACAGTAACGTCTTACTGTAGCTCAAATTTATTCTGCCATAGTCCAGCTGACCATAGCCAAGCCATGAAAACATAATCTTCTTTTGTGTGTCTGAGGTAAATCAGCTTCCTGTTGACTATGTGCTGCCTCTTACTTAATTAAGGTAGTCTTGATAGCCTTGCTTTAATATTCCTGCCAGTGGGTGCAGTGCACCATCAGACCATGTTCTGTAGTGAGGCTACAATGGTGGAATTTACATGGCTCTCTGATACGCCACTGTTCACATCACACAAATTCAAGCCAAATTTGAAAAATACTTGCAAGCAAGCAAACTGGCTACTCATGTAAAGCAAGACTGCTGAAAAGCTGCTCATTTAATTCCATGCTTGGACTCACTGTCACATCGCTCTGAGAGAGAGTACCTGGGCCTGGTTTTGCACTACCTTGCACCTTCTCTCATCATTTACATTGATGCAACATGATTGTAAAACACTGTTGGCCTAATCTGTACGTGCTGGTGCCATTTTGCACAATGTAAGTGTTTAGATCAGGTGCAGCTCTGTAGAGGACCGCATCACGGAATGCCTCCTCTATGCTTAGGAGTATTTCCTGACATGACTATAATGGGACATTTATACCAGCTAGATTTCTCTCTTCAGTGTGGAACAACATATGTTAACAATGGAAGTTCTCTACAGGTCATTCTGTTACAGAATAAAGGCTATTTTGTTAACATAAATATCTACTCTAAGGCTTTCCTGGTTTACTCCAGTTGGGATGATTTTTCTCATGTTTCCAGCAAACCCAGACATTTTTTACACATCTTAATTGGTATTATAGAGGTAGATGAAGCTTCTGCATGTAAGAGAATCTAATCTAAGAGATGTAACAGCCTTCTTCTAGGAGGATGGATGAACATGTGACTCAAAAGTGAGATGTCACTTTCTGACTCCCCACTGTGTAAGCGCAGTCAGGTTTGCTTCCTTATTGTTCCATAAAGTCTGAACCCAAGAAAAACACATTTATCCTGTGCATCCCGTTTGAATTTGGCCCACTTAATTTATGGCCAAGTAGTTATTCCAGGTCTCACATGAAAAAAACATGGTATCAGTGGAATAAGAACTGTGCTTATAAGGTGATCAGCAGTTTGTCCTCTTTTTGGACAATTGTTAACCCCTGTTGACATGTTACTATGCTAGTAAACAAAGACCAGTTCCTTCAGTCACTTGTGTTTAGCCCTTATCCTTAATGAGCTGGTATTTGTATCCCTCAAACACAGCCCAAAAGACTGTTTTATGAGCCTCCAAATGTATTTATTGTAACAGCAATAAAAAAAGTCTCCTTGCAGAAGAAATTCCTAGTCAACAATTACCTGATAGGAACTTGAAGCATAGAGGCTGAAAGAAATGCCTTTCTTTTTCCAGTGTGTGCTTCTGACACCTGACTGATGACAGCATTCACACTTTCTAAGCCATAAACACTTCAGAGGTTGAGAAAGAATAAACTCATGAATTCTGGTGTTCAGGGATATTTTTTGATGTTCATACACATTTTTTTGATAAGGAAGGTGAGCAGTTCTAAAAGCTCATGTGTCTAAAAGAATGTGTCTCCCTCTGAGATGTTACTCAGTCCACAGAGAGCAGAGACTATTATCAATGCTAACGCTGCTGAATAAGGTCTTGTCTGTACTGCAAATGTGGCCTGATTTATCTGTCAGTGGACAGCTGTTGAGCACCATATGAATGCTGGTCCAACTGAAGTACACCATTGTAAGCACTATTTTGACTGAAAAACAACCTGATTTGAGCTAAGGGTAAACTTGCCCAGCAAAAAGAGTGGATTTTCCTGCTGCTTCTAGGGTTTGCTGGGATGCAGTTACACCAGTGGCTGAAACTGGGGCACACCTCCACTGTAGATAACACTATCAAACATTTATATTCACTTTAGACTCTCTGGATACCAAAGTACTTCTTTGTTTTGAAAATCTGAGTGTGGGTAGCAGTGTGCAAGGGGTAAGATGGTTTCAGTTGGTCCTCAGTTTGGAGATCCAACTAGTGAAATGAAAGATCAAGGAACTATACCTACAGTCTCTGTAGGAAAGACTGACTTCCTACTCCTTGATTGTAATGCCATAATGCAAAATAAATGTCTATGGTTTAATCAACCTTTATTAGAACTCAGTGATGTATTCTTAAAATCTTTAGAAATGCATCATCTATGGATGTTATAGAGAAATCTGACATTTGTACATCAGCCACTTCAGTAAGACTTTGGCTGCTGATCTTTTAATGGTATGGAGATCAACAGGGCACGTGCAATTCTGCAAATTCCTAGTGCTTCGAATACTTAAGAGCGAGGCAAAAGCCTGAGGCAAGGAATATTTTGTGGGCTAAGGTCAGCTTCTGCTGCCTAGAAGCCTTTCTTAACTTTTTGTATTGAAACCGTATTGGAACTTAAGTAGTACAGCATCGCTCACTGTAGTTACATCAGAAAAGCCATTAATTTGTCTTAACAGTGCATGATGTTTTAATTGGAATAGTTTAAAAACACTATTTCCCTTACCTACGAATACATACATTGCTTTAGGTTGTGGGAAAAAAGTCAACATACTGTATCATTGTCTTTCATCAGTGTGATATAACTAAAACCCCAGCCTCAGAATGATGGCTGTATAGAGCTGTTGTTCTGTTTCTCTTGTATTTTCTTTCTGCTCCCTTCCTCTCTTTCTCCCTACTGTCTTAGTGTAAACATTCAAAATGGAAAGGCTCTTCTGATTATACTGAGACAAAAACTCTAAACCTAAATGAGATTGTAGAAAATTTCTCGCTGGAAGAGGAATTTCTACCCTGGGAATTCCTTCCTCTCTTTTAAATCTTGCAAAATCCTGTGTGAAATCGTGTGTTGCAACTGAAGGAGACTTCTGCAGCATGGGTAGTGAGCAAAGAGATTCTGCAGGTGGCCATTCTCAGGTTGCAGTCACAAGGCTTTTATCTAGCTGAAGGAGATTCGGATGGTGGTGGCATATGTTCATAGACACTACCACCCTGACTAACACATCTTTGTTGGGTTTGAGCACACATGGCGTAGGTTCTTATCATTATAAATGCATTTCTCTATCATGCTATCAGAAATGCTTCCGAACAAAGCATTTGTTCACCTATACATATACACAAAAATACTAAACGCACAAAGTTCTTTTTAGATACCCAAACATACAGAAATCCAAGCACTTGCGGGTGCTTAGGCAAAGACTTTCTTCGGGTAGAGGTTTGGAGGGAATGTAAAAAAATTGATTAAGACAAATTTTTGGGAGAAAGATCACCTTGATTGATATATTGCTGTCCAAGTGTAATTATTCTGTGACTACAGCATGAGTTCTCTACCCAC